GAGTTGGATGTGGTGAATTGGCCATGGTGATTTGGCCGCAGCGAGTTGGATATGGTGAATTGGCCATGGTGAGTTGGCCACAGTGAGTTGGATGTGGTGAGTTGGCCGCAGCGAGTAGGATATGGTGAGTTGGCCGTGGTGATTTGGCCACACCGAGTTGGATGTGGTGAGTTGGCCATGGTTATTTGGCCACAGCGCATTGGATGTGGTGATTTGGCTATTGTGAGTTGGCCACAGTGAGTAGGCTGTGGCAAGTTGTCATAGACCTGACATGGGTACCAGGTTTGGTACAGACATAGTGTATCATCCTATGCCAGGGATAGAAGCTTTTGGGTGGGCCAGTAACCAGATGACACAATTCCTGGGAAATGGGGTTTTTTAAAAATGAATTTTCTTCTTTTAGGGGGTTTTTCTTTTCTTTGTTTTGGGGTACGGTGAATGGTTTGTGTGGTCCTGGTGCTCTCTGCGCTTGGTTGTTTTCTTGCAGATGTTTCATTACCCAGGTAGGTAACATCATCAGTGCCAGCAGGCAAACCTTGAAATAGAAGGTCCATCTCTGGCCCCTGAGGGCTGGATGCTTCTCTGCCAAGCCTTTGCTCTTTCACTCCAGAGAGGATGACACTATTTTTTCCCCCATCATTCAGTGCTCCTCTCAGTGTTTCAGAGTTGCCCAGAATTTTTGTGATGTATATTTTTGATACCTTGGCTTGACATTCATTTCACGTTCCTGTTATTCTGGAAGGCAGCTCAGGTGAGGAAAGCTGGGAACGAAGCCAGGAAAAGCTGACAAAAACTTGGCTAGCTTGTGCACCTCTGGCCATAATTGAATTCCAGGGACAGCAGAAGACTGGGACTGAATGAAGAGGTGCTTGGTCATCTCCCTTGATTAAATTTGAATGAACCAGCTTTGATTTAGCAAGTTTCTGGTTAAAGTAGGCAATGGGTCAGCAGGATGAAAGACAAAGGGTCTTTCAGAAGTCTTCTGGCAAAGGTTCCTCAGAGGTCCTTGGTTCTCTCTGAGCTTGGTTGTTTTCTGGCAGATGTTTCTTTACCCAAACTAAGCACTGATGGTGTTACCTAGTTTGGGTAATGAAAGGTCCTCAAAGGATTAAAGAAAAGTTTTTCTCAAACAACAACAACTTCTTCTTCTTCTTCTTCTTCTTCTTCTTCTTCTTCTTCTTCTTCT